GTCATTTGGAAGGTGGCGGGGGCGTTGGTCAGTTCGAAGGGCATGACGGTTTATTCGAAGGATCCGTAGCATGTTCGGAAGGCTGTATTTGGGCAGTCGAGTGGGTTGACTCGGATTTGGTGGTAGCCTCCTCGAAGGTCGATTTTCGAGAAAACCCTGGCTGTGCGCAGTTGGTCGATCAGTTCGTCGGCTCGTGGGATGGGGTAACGGGACTTGATGGTAACCCTGTTCAGTGCGCGGTAGTCGATGCACATGCGAAAACCCCCGTCCTTCTTCGGTTTGAACAGTATCGGTGTTGCGAAAGGTGACGAACTCGGGCGAATGAATCCCTTCTCGAGCAGGTAATCCAGTTGCTTCCTTAGTTCGTCCAGTTCAGGCTGGGTCAGTCGAAACTGTTGCTGTACTGTCGGCTGTGCCCCCAGTTCTAATTCTATCCCGTGGTCGTGCGGTCGCTGAGGTGGCATTCCTGTTGGCAAGTCATATGGGGAAATCCCACTGTACTGCTTCAGTAATGCTGCCAAGTCATCCGGTATATCGGCTAGCAGTTTCTCTAAATCCCCCCCTTTCTCTGCTGCCTCGGCTTCCCGAATGTCGACCGCGTACACGTCAGCTCCTGCCGCTACGACGTGTTTCATCGTGATTGCGTTGACATGTACCGACGAAGACTCAGGCGAGTCCCAGCGAGGTAAGGCAATGTTGTTACCGTTCAATCGCATGGTGCAGTCACCCGTCGTCCAGTTAATTTGCGGATTGTGTCGTCCCAGCCAATCACGGCCGAGTAAAATGTCGGTTCTGTCGAGGGTTGTCGCGAGCATTTCTTGAATAAGCATGAAGTTACCCCCGCAGCAAATCCGAACCCGGTCTACGCGTTCCCATATCGCCAGTGGCGTGCCGTCAACCAGTCTTGCATCGATCTCATGTAAACATCTGTCCAGTGGCAGTCTCAATTTCCGTGCAGTGGAGGTGTTGATCAGGCTGTGGCTGGCTCCCCCGTCTACGAATATTTTAAGTAAATCTGTCCCAATTTTCCCACTAAGCAGTATGGGGCTGTCTACCGTAGTACCCTCCTTATTCGGCCGGGTGTGGTTGATTGCATGAACCGGCACAATCACTCGGTGAGGGTCGGTTGGGTCGGGCGAGCGGCGTGACCTGTCAGTAGAGGGCCCATCTGCTACTGACTCTCAGCGTTTCCCTGCTGCTTGGTTTGTTTCTGTTGCTCGGCTTCCCCCTTTCCCTTAGCGTTTTCCGAGAATTCGCTCTTGCGGTGTCCCGACCGATTGCACGCGAAGCAGCGCCCTTTAAATGGTGCGACAGCGGCATTCGCAGCGACGGCACGTATCGTGGCGCCCTCGTTTGTCCCACGAGATCAATGTCCCCAGGTGCTGTTGCTTCCGTACCCCAGTCTCGGTCGGCGAAAGAAATCGAGTTTCTCCGCCATGGCAAGAATCTCCTGAAAGTCGGTCATGCAGCGGAGCTGAATTTCTTGAGCGATGTCGTGCTGCAGGCCGCCGATGTAGCGGTCGATACGCTCGCCCTCGTGCATATATCCCACTTGCTCACACAGCGCCAGAAACCCGCTAGAATAATTTTGGACGGAACCGAGTTGGCTCCAAGTGCGGAGCTTCTGACGCGCCGCGATCGAAGCCGCAATTGGCTCAAATCGAGTATGCAGACCTGCGCACCACGCATCCCACGTGCGATATTGGGGCACCTCCTCGAAATACGACGGCGCCCAGGGTCCAGTTTGTCCTTCCCGTGTCGGTAGAGTCGCGTAGTCGTTCGGCTTCGTGACGATGACACGCCACCAATCCATGGTGGGTCCTCGCAGCAACGACACGGCGTAGCGAATTTTCGGCATATCCTCCGAGACGTAGTTGGCGTAAAAAAACACGTTCATCGTGAACAACCACGCTTGAACGGTAGGACCACCCCGTTGACTCGGGTCAAAACATGGCGGACGCAGCGGCTTCAGCGGCATCGGTGACAGCAGTGCCGAATCGTTGATCGGTGTCGAAATCGTGACGCGAGGCTGGTTCCTGGCCGCATTCGTCGCTTCGGGGTGTGTCGTGCCGTGGTCGTCGTCTCCGTCGTGGCGGACGACGCCATCACTGGCCGCGCTCGCGGGTTGCCCCACACTTCCGTGCTGCGATGCTTGTGGTGCAGGCTGTACGGGAGTGCCAGGTGCTTGTGACTGTGCTTGTTGTGCTCGTGCGACGTCGTTTTGCAGGGACGTACGTTCCGCCGTCAGCGCCGCAATTTCTTCTGAATTTTCGTGCAGCAGGCGCAGCAGTTCGTTCAGGCGGTCCTGCGTGAGTGTCGTGACATCGATATGTTCAGCCATTACGAAGGGCGTCGACTCGGCTTAGTCTAGGCGCAGTCGTGGTTGCACGCGTTTACGAGAGAACGCGAGGACAACGGCTCCTAGGGGCTAAGGTGCGTGAGTCTCTTCGAGTGAAAAAAATCAAAAGTTGATTTCCTGGGGTGCGGAGATGCGCGGTCAGAAAAGAAAGTGGCTCTGATAACCAAGTGTTACGGGTGCAATGAATCGAGGTAGCGAGGATTGCACTAAGTTGTCAAACGAGTACAAAATGTGAGCGAAGGCATGAGCGAACATTTATACGCGAAACATGCAAACGGTAACGCGGTGCGTGCGAGCTAGCTAGTGCTAGGCTGGCATCGAGGCTCGGGCTAGTCCCGAAGCATAGGCCGATACGGCCGGGCCAGCGGTGCATGGTTTGGTGAAATAGTGCGCGCATAGTTGGCGAAGCCCCGTTAGCAGTAACGGACGAACAATGGCTGCTGCTGTACGCGATGTTGCAGGTCGCGGTGAGGAATGTGGAGAAAATTCCTTGCATGCTGATGTTGTCAGAATATTATGCTCTAGCCTGTAGTGGGGTGCTCTATAGCGAGTACAACTCTTCTAGGGTTTTGCTATTTGTATCCCCATTCTTGCTAGTGCATCCCTCTTCTTTCTTCTAAACTTCAACATGCTATCAGAGCAGGTCGATCCCCTTGGATCGATCCTGTGGGTGGGCTCACCACCTTGTTGCTTCCGCTGCAACTGCTACTGCTACTCTCTGTGCCGCACGCCCTGTGGCGTGCGGCAGTTTTTCTTCCCGCCGTGCGCCCCGAGGCGCGCGGCGGTTTTCTGCCCGCCGTGCGCCCCGAGGCGCGCGGCGGTTTTCTGCCCACCGTGCGCCCCGAGGCGCGCGACGGGTTTCTGCCCCGTCACTCGCCGCGTCGCCCCCGGGAGGCGCTGCGACGGGCGACGGGGACCCGCACGTCGCCCCGTCGCGCGGCCCCTGCAGCCCCGTCGCGCCGCCTAGGGGAGCCGCGCGCGGCCCCTGCTGCCCCGTCGCGCGGCCCTGCTGCCCCGTCGCGCTGCCCAGGGGAGCCTTGCGCGGCCCCTGCTGCCCCGCCCCGTCCCGGACCTGCCCCGGCCCCGACCTGCCCCGGCCCAACTCCCGTCGCCTGTCGAGGCGACCCTGGGGGGGGCCGGGGCCGCGCGTTGCCCCCCCCCCCCCTACCTCCCTACCCTGTTTTTAGGGTTTGGGGGGTGGCGGTTGGGGGGTGGCGGGTGTGTGGCGTCGCCTGCTCCTCCTCCTCCTTCGTCTCCCACTGCTGCAGCTGTCGCTGAGGGGGGTGGATGTGTGGGAGTGTACGGAGTGGTGCTAGGGGGGTGGAGTGTGAGTAGAGCTAGGGTTTGAACAGGGGGTGTGTGAAATGGGGGTGGGACAGTTGGGGGAGGTTGAATGGAGGCGGTCGTCGTGTCGTCAGCAGCAGCAGCAGTCCGGAGGCTACAATCTCCGGTAGTCGCCAGTCGCCCGTGGGTCCGTTGCTCGTCTGCCGCTACTTTTAGCCGCGGGGCCAGTTACCCCAGTAGTCCGGAGCGCTGTTCCGGTAGCCACTGAGCCAGCAGCTCGTCTGTGTGTCTGCAGCGTCAGCAGTCGCCTCCCATCTTCTCTCCCCCACAGTCTCTCCTCCTCCTCACTTGCCCTCTGTGATAGCCTCTAGCTTTGCTTACATTTGTTAACTATAAAACTGCTACCTCTTGTACTTGTGCTCAGAATGTGTGGTGACATTGTGATCCACCCTGAGCTTGTTTTCTTTTGCTTGCTCTGCTGATTACACCCCACTTTGGCTATGGGGGTGTGTCAGAATATTATGCTCTAGCCTGTAGTGGGGTGCTCTATAGCGAGTACAACTCTTCTAGGGTTTTGCTATTTGTATCCCCATTCTTGCTAGTGCATCCCTCTTCTTTCTTCTAAACTTCAACAGATGTCATAAACGCCGATAAAGACTTGAAGACTTGTTGTATCGCAGGATCGATGGCAACTGCGCCATTCTCCATCAGCAGTATCGACGGGGAAGATCCTCCTGCGTCTCTTGATCTAGCTGCAGATGCAGCTGTTGGATCAGGGCTGGCATATGTCACATCAGAGCCAAGTAGTGGTGATGCAGAGGGTTGTTGCGTATCACTACTTCCACTTAGTAAGTGTGATGTACCGTTGTTGCCGTGTGCCATGTATGTAAACTAGCCCTATTAGTGCAGATTCAGTCAGTGAGAATTGTAAAACTTTTGGTTCTAGGAGATCGTAAACTCTCATACTCTGGTACTATGTTGGGTTGAAAAACTAGCCTTAGGATCTTTTAGAGTTTAGCCTTGATAAGTGTTGCAGCGGAAGTATGTGAAATCCTGTGCTAGTCAAATGTGAGAACAAGAATTGATAATAATGAGAAAGTACAAGAAATATATAGTCTACCAAAGTATCTACTGGGTAATGTATCTATTCGTGAACTGGGCCTTTTAGCGGGTCAACTACTGAAGCGACACTTTCCTGTGTCACGATACTGCTCGCACTACCACACTCAGATTCCTAGCAGTAGGTTAGTTCCTAGCGCGCCCCGTCCCACCCTTAATGCGCCTCGCCCCGTTCGTAATGCGCTCCGTCCTTAGCGCGCCCCGTAACGCCCCGTAACGCCCCGTAGCACGCCCTGTCCTAGTCGAACGCGCGCGCAGCAGCTCCTGCACGCACCCGCGCGCACATAGGCCGCCGCACGCTGCTCCCTCCCTCCTCCCCCCCCCCCCCCCCCCCCCCCCCCCCTCCCCCTTTTTTTCGTCCCACAGCAGCAGCAGCCGCGATCGGGTGCGCCACTGCATGCACACGAGAAGCAGCCGCCGCCACGCCCGCAGCAGCCGCCGCCACGCAGACAGCAGCCGCCGCCGCAAGCGCAGCAGCCGCCGCCGCGCGCACAGCAGCCACTGCCGCACACCCTGCCCGCCCCGTCCCGTTCCGCGCCCGGCCCTGCTGCCCGCGCACGCAGCCACGCGCACACCGCCTCGCATGAGCATAAGCGCACGTGCAGCTGCCCGTACTCCTTAACATGTCACCCCATTCCACCGCACTAGACCATTCCTAACCGCAATCCACTGCATTAAATCCCCCCTGACCGCTCCTCACCATGCTAGACCGCCCCCCACTGCACCGTTACACACCCGGCCGCACCTTTACCGCTCTCCACCGCACTAGTCTGCACCCTACCGTACCTGACTGCTCCCCACCGCGCTAGACCGCACTCAACCGCACTCGACCGCACCCTACCGCACTAGACCGCACCTACCCTTCACCCGTACCTGCAGTCTATCAGCGGCGTCGCCAGTCGTCGCGATGGCCCCTGCGACGGCGAGCTCGCAGCTGGCGGGGCTGCAGCAGTGGGCGAAGCGCGTGCTGCTGGCGGAACTCGTCGCGCCCGGTGACGAGGTACGCCGCCGGGACTCCCCTCGGAGGGGACGGGTGCACCATGGCTGGGCGATGGCCGGGCGATGGCTGGGCGATGGGTGGGCGATGGGTGGGGAAAGCGGCTCACAGAGTAGCATGCCCCCTGGCAGCGAGCGGTGGGGGGCGGTAGAGCTTTTGAGGGGACGAGGAGGAGCAGAGGCGAGGGAAAAAGACGTCAGAGGGGTCGTTTAGCGCATGGCTCAGACGATGCATGCGTGCTCACCCTGCGCATTGTGTGCGCCCCTCTGTGCGCGCGTGTGTGTGCCCGCAGGTGTGCGAGATGTTCTGTGGCCGCGGGGAGGACACGCCGCTGTGGGTCAATGCGCGCATCGACTCCTACCTGGGCGTCGGTGAGTGCCTCGTGGGCGTCAAGTAATCCTCCACTCGCTCCGTGTGAGCCCCTCCTCTTTATCTCCCCTCCGACCTGCCTTTACTTCGCTTTTCCTGGCGCACCACTCCCCCTTCGTTCCAACCCACTTCCTCCTCCTTCCCCCCTCCGTCCCCCCATTCGCTCTGCCCTCGCTCCCATGGCACGGGTGGGAGGGGGGCGGGGCAGACGTGACGCCATCATCGCTGGAGGAGGCGGCGGAGGAGTGGCGCGCGCACGGCGCCCCGTATGGCGCCGCCTTCCACTATGCCGACCCCTCCCTCGTATGCGTAGTAGAGAGTTGCAGCTGAGTTATCCGGTTCCTCCTCGTTTCCCCATTCAAGAGAACCTCATGTCAATTCAGAAAAAAAACAACCTAGCTGTCATCTGTTTTTCTGGGGAAAAAACCTTGTTTGTTGTATCGAAATCACGCATGGCCCACTTTGGCTCGTTGGTGAACCATCGGAGTGGCTGCTCTCTGGTTCGAGACCAGAACCATTTCAAGTGTAAGACCCAAAGAAATGAGCTGGGTTCTGACCTTGTGCCCAACTGCCGTCTTCCTGCAGGCGCAGCTCTCGCTGCCCGCGGTGGGGCGCCTCACGCCCTTCAACGTTGTCTGCTGCAGCCCTCGCGTGCAGGTGCATGTTTCAACCCTCATGCCACTTGCTATGCTGTTTGTATTCTCTTTTCACTGCCAGCTTTCCCTGTTCTGAATCACCGCCTTGTGCTCTCGCATGTAACCACCCCAACTCTTACCCACCCACCTGCTCCCTTAACCCCACATAACCCCTCCCCCTCCACCCCTCACCCCCCCCCCAACCAACGCGTGGGCGTGCAGGACTGGTTTGCCTCGCAGCGCACGGCTTCACAGTTCCTGGCGAACGTGGCAACACTGCTGGCCCCCGGAGGGATCTTCTTCGGCCTGCTGCCCGACTCCTCCACGCTCTGGTATGCCCGACTCCTCCACGCTCTGGTATGCCCGACTCCTCCACGCTCTGGTCTGCCCGACTCCTCCACGCTCTGGTATGCCCGACTCCTCCACGCTCTGGTATGCCCGACTCCTCCACGCTCTGGTATGCCCGACTCCTTAACGCTCTGGTATGCCCGACTCCTCCACGCTCTGGTCTGCCCGACTCCTCCACGCTCTGGTATGCCCGACTCCTCCACGCTCTGGTCTGCCCGACTCCTCCACGCTCTGGTATGCCCGACTCCTCCACGCTCTGGTATGCCCGACTCCTCCACGCTCTGGTCTGCCCGACTCCTCCACGCTCTGGTATGCCCGACTCCTCCACGCTCTGGTATGCCCGACTCCTCCACGCTCTGGTCTGCCCGACTCCTCCACGCTCTGGTATGCCCGACTCCTCCACGCTCTGGTCTGCCCGACTCCTCCACGCTCTGGTATGCCCGACTCCTCCACGCTCTGGTCTGCCCGACTCCTCCACGCTCTGGTATGCCCGACTCCTCCACGCTCTGGTCTGCCCGACTCCTCCACGCTCTGGTATGCCCGACTCCTCCACGCTCTGGTATGCCCGACTCCTCCACGCTCTGGTATGCCCGACTCCTCCACGCTCTGGTATGCCCGACTCCTCCACGCTCTGGTATGCCCGACTCCTCCACGCTCTGGTATGCCCGACTCCTCCACGCTCTGGTATGCCCGACTCCTCCACGCTCTGGTATGTCCGACTCCTCCACGCTCTGGTATGCCCGACTCCTCCACGCTCTGGTATGCCCGACTCCTCCACGCTCTGGTATGTCCGACTCCTCCACGCTCTGGTATGCCCGACTCCTCCACGCTCTGGTATGCCCGACTCCTCCACGCTCTGGTATGCCCGACTCCTCCACGCTCTGGTATGCCCGACTCCTCCACGCTCTGGTATGCCCGACTCCTCCACGCTCTGGTCTGCCCGACTCCTCCACGCTCTGGTATGCCCGACTCCTCCACGCTCTGGTATGCCCGACTCCTCCACGCTCTGGTATGCCCGACTCCTCCACGCTCTGGTATGCCCGACTCCTCCACGCTCTGGTATGCCCGACTCCTCCACGCTCTGGTATGCCCGACTCCTCCACGCTCTGGTATGCCCGACTCCTCCACGCTCTGGTATGCCCGACTCCTCCAGGCTCTGGTATGCCCGACTCCTCCACGCTCTGGTATGCCCGACTCCTCCACGCTCTGGTATGCCCGACTCCTCCACGCTCTGGTCTGCCCGACTCCTCCACGCTCTGGTATGCCCGACTCCTCCACGCTCTGGTATGCCCGACTCCTCCACGCTCTGGTATGCCCGACTCCTCCACGCTCTGGTATGCCCGACTCCTCCACGCTCTGGTATGCCCGACTCCTCCACGCTCTGGTATGCCCGACTCCTCCACGCTCTGGTCTGTCCGACTCCTCCACGCTCTGGTATGCCCGACTCCTCCACGCTCTGGTATGCCCGACTCCTCCACGCTCTGGTATGCCCGACTCCTCCACGCTCTGGTATGCCCGACTCCTCCACGCTCTGGTATGTCCGACTCCTCCACGCTCTGGTATGCCCGACTCCTCCACGCTCTGGTATGCCCGACTCCTCCACGCTCTGGTATGCCCGACTCCTCCACGCTCTGGTATGCCCGACTCCTCCACGCTCTGGTATGCCCGACTCCTCCACGCTCTGGTATGCCCGACTCCTCCACGCTCTGGTATGTCCGACTCCTCCACGCTCTGGTCTGCCCGACTCCTCCACGCTCTGGTATGCCCGACTCCTCCACGCTCTGGTATGCCCGACTCCTCCACGCTCTGGTATGCCCGACTCCTCCACGCTCTGGTATGCCCGACTCCTCCACGCTCTGGTATGCCCGACTCCTCCACGCTCTGGTCTGCTGCTTGTTTAGAACTTTACACCTTTATCGTGTTCAGCAACCATCATGTCTTCCCTCTGTTGCTCCTCCGCCCACTGCGGTTGCGCCGCTACTCCACCTTCTGATAAGCATAGCGACTGGTCAGACCCGCACCCTGGTTCAACCTGATACGGTAGAAATTGAACGAGCACGGACCAGACCGTGCTAGTCTGGGTCGGGCCAGGGTGGGCTGGCCGGCCGGGCCAGTCCGGCCCAGCGCGGGTGCCGGACCACCCACGCTGCGGACCAATGTGATGGGCCAATGTGACGGGCCAATGTGACGGGCCAATGTGACGGGCCAATGTGACGGGCCAATGTGACGGGCCAATGTGACGGGCCAATGTGACGGGCCAATGTGACGGGCCAATGTGACGGACCAATGTGACGGGCCAATGTGACTGGCCAATGTGACGGGCCAATGTGACGGGCCAATGTGACGGGCCAATGTGACGGGCCAATGTGACGGGCCAATGTGACGGGCCAATGTGACGGGCCAATGTGACGGGCCAATGTGACGGGCCAATGTGACGGGCCAATGTGACGGGCCAATGTGACGGGCCAATGTGACGGGCCAATGTGACGGGCCAATGTGACGGGCCAATGTGACGGGCCAATGTGACGGGCCAATGTGACGGGACCAATGTGACGGGCCAATGTGACGGGCCAATGTGACGGGCCAATGTGACGGGCCAATGTGACGGGCCAATGTGACTGACCAATGTGACGGGCCAATGTGACAGACCAATGTGACGGGCCAATGTGACGGACCAATGTTGACGGGCCAATGTGACGGGCCAATGTGACGGGCCAATGTGACTGGCCAATGTGACGGACCAATGTGACGGGCCAATGTGACGGGCCAATGTGACGGGCCAATGTGACGGGCCAATGTGACGGGCCAATGTGACGGGCCAATGTGACGGGCCAATGTGACGGGCCAATGTGACGGGCCAATGTGACGGGCCAATGTGACGGGCCAATGTGACGGGCCAATGTGACGGGCCAATGTGACGGGCCAATGTGACGGGCCAATGTGACGGGCCAATGTGACGGGCCAATGTGACGGGCCAATGTGACGGGGCCAATGTGAGGGGCCAATGTGAGGGGCCAATGTGACGGGCCAATGTGACGGGCCAATGTGACGGGCCAATGTGACGGGCCAATGTGACGGGCCAATGTGACGGACCAATGTGACGGGCCAATGTGACGGGCCAATGTGACGGGCCAATGTGACGGGCCAATGTGACGGGCCAATGTGACGGGCCAATGTGACGGGCCAATGTGACGGGCCAATGTGACGGGCCAATGTGACGGGCCAATGTGACGGGCCAATGTGACGGGCCAATGTGACGGGCCAATGTGACGGGCCAATGTGACGGGCCAATGTGACGGGCCAATGTGACGGGCCAATGTGACGGACCAATGTGACGGACCAATGTGACGGGCCAATGTGACGGGCCAATGTGACGGGCCAATGTGACGGACCAATGTGACGGGCCAATGTGACGGGCCAATGTGACCGACCAATGTGACGGACCAATGTGACGGGCCAATGTGACTGGCCAATGTGACGGGCCAATGTGACGGGCCAATGTGACGGGCCAATGTGACGGGCCAATGTGACGGGCCAATGTGACGGGCCAATGTGACGGGCCAATGTGACGGGCCAATGTGACGGGCCAATGTGACGGGCCAATGTGACGGGCCAATGTGACGGGCCAATGTGACGGGCCAATGTGACGGGCCAATGTGACGGGCCAATGTGACGGGCCAATGTGACGGGCCAATGTGACGGGCCAATGTGACGGGCCAATGTGACGGGCCAATGTGACGGGCCAATGTGACGGGCCAATGTGACGGGCCAATGTGACGGGCCAATGTGACGGGCCAACGGTGGATCCACCTGGGCTGACCGCGGCGGAGGGCAGGCTCGGCCGGCCAGAGCATGTGTTTACACCCGAGAACCGCGTTGTCAAACCTAAGTGGCAAGTTTTGAATGGTGGTGGTCAATCGTGCGCGGAGAAAATCTTAATTTCAAGAGGCTCCTTGCCCAGGGCCGCCGCAGCACCCAGGGCTGCTTCCCTCTTTCTGCTGCTGCGCACTTGTCACGCTGACCAGGGATGTTGGGTGCAACACGGTGTGGTGTGGGGAGCAACACCGTGTGGAGTAGGAAGCAGTGGGGAACAACACCGTGTGTTGTAAAAAGCACCACCATGTGGTGTAGAAAGCACCACCATGTAGTGTAGAAAGCAACACCGTGTGGTGTAGAAAGCACCACCATGTGGTGTAGGAAGCAACACCGCGTGGTGTAGGGAGCAACACTGTATGATGTAGGAAGCAACACCGCGTGGTGTAGGGAGCACAGATCTTTTGCTTCTACTCATCCATTCCCCGCCACATCCCCACTTGTCCGCCCCGCCAGGTACAAGCAGCAGCGGGCCATTGATGCCGCCAAGGCTGCTGCCGGGCCGGGCGGCATGGCGCCCACGCGGGCGGTGATTCGCTCGTCGCTCTACTCTATCGTGTTTGAGAAGGCAGTGCCGTTTGATGACAGCAAGTGAGAAGGCAGTGCCGTTTGATGACAGCAAGTGAGAAGGCAGTGCCGTTTGATGACAGCAAGTGAGAAGGCAGTGCCGTTTGATGACAGCAAGTGAGAAGGCAGTGCCGTTTGATGACAGCAAGTGAGAAGGCAGTGCCGTTCGATGACAGCAAGTGAGAAGGCAGTGCCGTTTGATGACAGCAAGTGAGAAGGCAGTGCCGTTTGATGACAGCAAGTGAGAAGGCAGTGCCGTTTGATGACAGAAAGTGAGAAGGCAGTGCCGTTTGATGACAGCAAGTGAGAAGGCAGTGCCGTTTGATGACAGCAAGTGAGAAGGCAGTGCCGTTTGATGACAGCAAGTGAGAAGGCAGTGCCGTTTGATGGCAGCAAGTGAGAAGGCAGTGCCATTTGATGACAGCAAGTGAGATGGCAGTGCCGTTTGATGACAGCAAGTGAGAAGGCAGTGCCGTTTGATGGCAGCAAGTGAGAAGGCAGTGCCGTTTGATGACAGCAAGTGAGAAGGCAGTGCCGTTTGATGACAGCAAGTGAGAAGGCAGTGCCGTTTGATGACAGCAAGTGAGAAGGCAGTGCCGTTTGATGACAGCAAGTGAGAAGGCAGTGCCGTTTGATGACAGCAAGTGAGAAGGCAGTGCCGTTTGATGACAGCAAGTGAGAAGGCAGTGCCGTTTGATGGCAGCAAGTGAGAAGGCAGTGACTTCTTATTCCCCTTTCTCGTTGTGACTATTTCCTTCATACTTGGCTTCTACCTTCCTACATGTTTTCTCCCGACTTGTCCTTCCATTCCCCGCCTCACCTCACAGTCATCTCACCATTATTTCCATCGGCTAATCCGTCCCTCCTCTTCCATTACATGTTCCTGCCCCTCTGTGCTGCCCCCTGCCTGCCGGTCCACCAGGGCGGTGTTTGATTTGCGCTTCTCCCTCAAGTGTGCCGATGCCAACAGCCTGCCCATCAAGTCGCTCCTCGTCCACTTCCCCACTCTCATTAGGTGCACTTCCTCCTTTTTCCTAGCTTGGCTCCTCGTTCCTACTCACGCTTGCTGTATCTCGCCCCTTCCCATTATTGACGAGAAAAGGCCCCGCCCTCGCTTGGGCGAAGCCGACTTCGTTGTCTGGCATGCAAGGTGTGCAGCCGGCTACGCTTCGTGGTCGATGTCGATTTGGAGGAGCAAGTCGTCTTGGTTGGCCGACTTCGACGGTAAGCCGACTTTGGTAAAGCCGACCTGGCGAAGTCGGCGTGGCGAGGTCGACTTCGGGCTCAGCCGACTTTGGCGGAGTCGATGTCGGAGAAGCCGCCGACTAGAGCGAAGCTGGTTGTGGCGGAGCCGACTTTGACAAAGCCGACTTTAGCAAAGTCGGCTAGACGCTGGTCAACGAAGAGAAGTCAGCGGATGGCGTCAAGCCTCGGCGGTCGACGAAGGTGGTCATCGACATGAGGTCGACCGACAAGCACCGAAGTCGACGTCGGCCTAGCGGTATCTTCTGACCGAGTAAGCTGGTCGACAAAGTTCTGCGGGGTTGCGCGAACGTCGTCCTGGTGTTTTTGACGTAGTCGATCTGCGTCTCGGTAGCGTAGCACGAGGTTGACGAGGTCGATGCAACCGTCGACATGTGATCGATCTGGGCACCTGTACAATGTGCTTGATGGTACAACCGTCTTCCTGCACCTACGCGGCAAGTGTGCACCTGCGCATTCACAAACACATGTTATTGCAATGGTGGCAAGCTGCCTTGCTGCAGCATTGGCAAGCCGCCTTGCTGCAGCATTGGCAAGCCGCCGTTCTGGTGCAGAGCTGGCATGACGTCTTTCTGCAGCGGTGGCAAGTCCTCTTCTTGCTACGTTGGCAGGCCGCCAACCTGCGGTGCTGGCAAGCAGCCTTCGTGCTGCGCTGGAGGTTGACCTGCCTGCTTGCTAGGCTGCTAGGCCTGTGATGTAGTCAACCTTTGCCCTTACCATTGTATCATTATTCTATAACGTTCTTAGTGAAACTCTTGCTAGTTTTCTCTATGAATGCGCAAGTAGAGAAACTACGAGCGAACTCTGCGATCACTCGTACCACTCGTGCCTTCCCCGTGATTTAGCTCCCACTGGTGTAGAGTGACTCTCCGCACCCTGTGCCAACCTGTGATGAGTTGGTCTCCGGCGTTCGGGGTTGGTGTGCAGTGCAGCTGATGGGCTCGAGGGAGTCCCATGCCCCTTTTTGCTCTGTGTTTCCCCCCTCTGTTTCCTCATGCACATGTCTTCTCACATGCCCATGTCTTCTCACATGCCCCAATCGTCTCTCCCTCTCACGGCACGGCAGGTTGGCGGAGGTGGAGGGGTTGCAGCTGATCGACATTGTCAACCTCGAGACCCTTTTCAACGACACCAGGTGGGCACCATGCCAACTGTGTCAATCACACATGAGTACACTTGAGAAAGTATCCAACTCGAACTTGTTCAGGCCAAAAATGGTCAAACGGATAATCTCGCAGTATCAAACCTGCTCGGGTTTGGTCGAACCAAAACGTGGTGGCCGAGGTTCTATATTCGACCCTTAGTTCTCGAACCTCTGGTTCAGTTCGTCTCGACAGGCCAATCACTAATGTGTATTATTTGAAGAGTTCATTTCTAGTTTTGTTTAGCTTAAGCGTGTGTTTGAGGCTGTGCGGTGTCTTGGGAGCATCGTATCGAGAAGCAAGTGCAGCTAGGTGTCGGAGATTTAGGAGCAATGGGAAAGCAACAGTCATGGTCAAGTTAGGGTCAGACTGAACGAGAAACCTCAAGAGGTACTCGATGGAGTGATTTAGCAACCTACGGTCAGCAACACAGGTGCTCGCCTCTAGGCCCAGTGCGCCTCGCCTTTCACCATACCTGACCCATATGACGAGTCGGTTGAGATTATGGGTTGGTTGACCCGCCATACCTCGTGAGCTGGGTCAACCTTCCTCCGTGAACTGGGTCAACCTTCCTCCGTGAACTGGGTCAACCTTCCTCCGTGAACTGGGTCAACCTTCCTCCGTGAACTGGGTCAACCTTCCTCCGTGAACTGGGTCAACCTTCCTCCGTGAACTGGGTCAACCTTCCAAGTTAAATAACCTCTGAGGTGGAGAGCCAGTGGTTGTCCATAAGGGCATGATAACACTTCCTTCCCTGACGCCTCCCCACGGCCAACCCTCATGCCTCCGCTCGCCCCTCCATCTGCTCCCCCCCTCTGCAGGACGCCTGCCAGCATGCGCCTGCTGGCGCACACCTGCCCCGCTGCGCTACTCGCCATGCCTGACCCGCGTGGCGACGCTGCTGCTGCTGCTGCTGCTGCTGCTGCTGCTGCGGGTGCAGCAGCGGGCGAGGGGGCGGATGGGCGGCCTGTGGACGCTGCGGTGCACGTCGGCCTCTCTGCGGCGGCACGCGACCTGCTGAGTGAGTGCTGCTGGCGACCTGCTGAGTGAGTGCTGCTGGCGACCTGTTGTGCTGCCATCCACCGTGACACACGGTGGCAAGCGGGCGCCCACCCATGCATTCACGGGAATCGTGCCACTGTGCACCACATTCGTGCCACTGTGCACCACATTCGTGCCACTGTGCACCACATTCGTGCCACTGTGCACCACATTCGTGCCACTGTGCACCACATTCGTGCCACTGTGCACCACATTCGTGCCACTGTGCACCACATTCGTGTGCTCCCTGCTCAATGCCCTTAGCCCTGCCCTCCCTTGCACTTGCTTACCAACCATTCGCGTTTTCCTCCTAGTGCGCCCCTCATGCCCCACTGCCTGCGCCCCTCATGCCCCACTGCCTGCGCCCCTCATGCCCCACTGCCTGCGCCCCTCATGCCCCACTGCCTGCGCCCCTCATGCCCCACTGCCTGCGCCCCTCATGCCCCACTGCCTGCGCCCCTCGTGCCCCACTGCCTGCGCCCCTCATGCCCCACTGCCTGCGCCCCTCATGCCCCACTGCCTGCGCCCCTCATGCCCCACTGCCTGCGCCCCTCATGCCCCACTGCCTGCGCCCCTCATGCCCCACTGCCTGCGCCCCTCATGCCCCACTGCCTGCGCCCCTCATGCCCCACTGCCTGCGCCCCTCATGCCCCACTGCCTGCGCCCCTCATGCCCCACTGCCTGCGCCCCTCATGCCCCACTGCCTGCGCCCCTCATGCCCCACTGCCTGCGCCCCTCATGCCCCACTGCCTGCGCCCCTCATGCCCCACTGCCTGCGCCCCTCATGCCCCACTGCCTGCGCCCCTCATGCCCCACTGCCTGCGCCCCTCATGCCCCACTGCCTGCGCCCCTCATGCCCCACTGCGTGCGCCCCTCATGCCGCCCTGCCGGCGCCTCTGGGCAGGTCTCTTCGCTGCCTTCATCTTCTCCAAGCCGCTGCCCCCCACTCGTCTGCCGCCGCCACCACCACCTCCCACACCGCCAGCAGTGGCAGCAGGCGAGGTGGCAGGTGGGGGAAGGGGACCAGGGGAGGTGCGGGCGGCACATGTGTGTGCAGCCATCTCCGCCACGCCACTGGATGAGCCCACCTCTCTGCGTCCGTCCCTGCCCATGGTGCCCGTGCCCCCTGCACCAGCACACGCTGCCACCACCCCTGCCCCGCCTCCCACCGCCTGTGCACGCGCAGCTGACACGGTGCTGAGTAGCACGCGTGCACGCACATCGCCCTCGCCTCCACCCACGCTGCCTGCTGCCCACAGCCACCGCCATGGTGGTAGTGGGGGCGCAGTGGGCACGGCACGCACGCATGGTGGTCCGCCTTGCCCCGCTGCTGCGCTGCCACACACGTGTGCCGCCGTGCGCGTGGAGGTGAGCGCGGGGCCACCTGTGCTGCCCCACATGGAGGTGAGCGCGGGGCCACCTGTGCTGCCCCACATGGAGGTGAGCGCGGGGCCACCTGTGCTGCCCCTGGCGCAGGAGGGACGAGCTGAGGCGAGCCCACGCGGCGAGGTGAGAGGCAGTGCGGGTGCAGGGAGGGGCGAGAGGGGCGAGAGGGGCGAGAGAGAGGCGAGGGCGGTGGGCAGGGGGGCGCGCGGCGTGTGGGACCTGGTCGACCTGGACGCCTCCGACGGCCACCTTGACCCCTCCCCCTCCCCCTGGGCGCTCGCCCCCCCGCCCCCCGTCCCACCCCTCTCTCCCCCTCCCCTCTCCGTCCCCCCCTTCCACCCACCTGCCTCCTGCGTGCCCCCTACGCGTGGCAACGTGGGCGTGGGTGGGGAAAGGCAGGCGTGGGGTGCTGTGCCCATGCAGAGAGGGCAGTGGGGGGCGAGGGAAGACAGGGAGCAGAGAAGGGGAAGGGGACAGCGGGAGGAGAGGGGGGAAAGGGGGAAAGAAGGGGAAAGAGAGGAGAGGGGGGAGAGGGGCGAAAGGATGCAGGAAGAGGTGATGGTGGAGCAAAGGGGAACGGCAGAGAAAGCACAACAACACAGTGGGGCTATGGGAAGCAAGAGTGGGATGGATGAGGAGGTTCAGTCGTTTCATGTGCTTGCGCTGCATCCATGCGCTACTGAGCCGCAGCACAGTGCTGAGAGGCAGAGTGAGTGCCCCGCGCACGAGCAGAGTGATTGGGGCGAGCACCGTGAGGGCGCAGGCGAGCACCGTGGGGGCCCAGGCGAGCACCGTGGGGGCCCAGGCGAGAGTCACACTGGTTGGCTCGAGATGCACTCCCACTCTCACGCCCACTGCCCTCAGCAGCAGCAGCAGCAGCAGCAGCAGCAGCAGCAGCAGCAGCAGCAGCAGCAGCAGCAGCAGCAGCAGCAGAGGCAAGGCGATGTGCATGTATGTGTGGATGTGGGAGTGCAGAGCAGGTGGGTGCGCATGGCATCCCCGCCACGCGTGCCCCAGGGGGCGCTGCCTGCCCCGCTGCCGCTGCCGCGCACAGGCAGTGCTGGCTGCACCCAGGGGGGCGCTGGGGAGGGCGGACACGGGAGGCAGGGAGGGGACGGTGGGGAGGGAGGGGAGGGAGAGGAAGGTGGGGGCGAGGTGAGGTGGCGGGCGCAGGGCAAGCGCGAGCGCAGTCGCAGGAAGGCGCGTGGGGTGGCGATGTACGACATCCTGCGGCGCACTCCCATCCTTGCTGCCCGCGGGCTGGTGCGGCCTGAGGGGTGCGGTGGGGCGCACGCGATGAGCGCACGGGATGGTGGGGAGGGGAGGGCGGGGGATGGAATGGGAGTGCGGGAGGGGTGGGTGCCGGGGGAGGCAGGGCGCGGTGGCGATGAGGTGGGGGAGGGGAGGGCGGGCACGAGGAGAGGGGAGGTGGACGAGTGGGAGGAGTGGCACCGGCGGCAGATGGCTGCTGCGGGGCATGCGGGGCATGCGGGGCATGCGGGGCGGGCAGGGCAGGCGGTGCTCAGCAGTGCACAGCCTGCAAGGCATGACGGCAGCAGTGGTGCTGCTGCAGTGGTGGAGCGAGTGGGGGAGGCGCATGCAGGTGGAGAGGCAGGGATGCATGCAGCAGCGCAAGACAGCGAGACAGCCCTTTGGGCATTGGGAGTTGTAGGCGCTGCGGGTGGAGGTGGAGGAGGCGTCCCCGCTGTGCCACACGATGGCTCGTCCAGTGAGGTACATGCAGGTGGTGCGGTGGAGCAGGAGCCGCTCATCACCTACTCACTCAAGCGAAACCGCAAATCCCTCAACAAGGAGCACACCTGGAAGTAGAGCATTGATCACACCAGTCTTCTGATTCGGCTATCTTATTTTGAATGGCAACCCCTACCCAACCACATACCATATGAGCATGCACAGCACACAGCCTGGTGCAATCAAGGCTTGCATGATGTGAGCATTGGGGCTCCTGAAATACTGTACGCTGTATTTTACCCTGATTTTTGGGCGCGGCAGTGTACGGCCTGGAGGGGAAGCCACGCATTGGGTATTGGGGCTGTTGTAAATAACTGGTCAGATGAGTCTGGGTTCTCTTCACCAAGACAGCCTTTCACAATCAATCACTCATTGGCCAAGTACTGGTAGCTGGGCACTTGTTGCCAAGAAAATGTGTGCATTAACGGATATACAGCGTAATCCTGTCGACATGCACATCAGGGCCCTCGCTAGTCCCTGAACCCCCCTGATGCATCAGAGGGGCCCTTCGGGCCAGTCTGATTTATCAGAAATTTTAAAATTTCCTTATGCATCAGAATTTCAAGCATTTCTTGTCTTATGAATCAGAAATTACAAAACGATCCTACTGAGCAGAACCTCAGATTCGTTTTTGGCTTGTCTGATTCGTCAGACTAGTACAGTGTTTAGTTTGAAACCCCTCAGAGTTGGAATAAAAAAAGGCTGAAAGTTCAGAGTGTCTTTCAAAAAAAGTTTGAACATTCAAAACCAATGTACGGTATTCAATGTTTCATCAGAAATGTATTCAATGTTTCATCTGATACCGAAACATGCTAGACTAAGGGGATTTCCCGGATAACATGCTCTGACAGGGCGAATCTTTGTGTCAAGGCGAATCTTGTGGTGTGAAAGCAGGGCTGATTTTATTAGGGTAATTACCCTGATTTCAAGGTGATTACAGGCTTCTCACCTGGTGGACCCTGCAATTTCAGAATTTTTTACTTGTGAACACTGATCCATTCAAAATAGTGCTTCACCGAACCCTGAAATATTATAACTAGTCCCAGAGTAGTGTTCTTACTGACTCTGTCTATGTAGAGTACGCGTTTTGTGGACCCTAAATGCGAGGGTATCGGGACGAAGGTTCCCGGAAATTTCATCCCGTTAACCCCCCGCTTGGACCCATGTGAGGGACCCCGTTCATGCGCTGGACTGACAAGCAAAAGGCCACAATGCCAGTTCACATGCAGAGTTATATATATAGGAGAACAAGCAGTACAGTGATCACAACCTAGCAAGTGTAAGCATGCAGGTATAAGGGTACATTCCGCTGTAGAATATGTCCCAATCGTTGTGTCCCAATCGATTGAGACGCGTACGTACAGCATATGCTGCCAGTTGTCGGAATGCCGTGCCGCCCGTGGTTGTCACCGACTGTATTTATCATTGGGTGGCGTGTATCACGGAACAATCGCCAGCTAATTACAACACACCCATCCAATCGCACGCGGCCCCAAATGTCCTATCATGCAGCATGTATCTGGACGACATTTTTGGGCCCACTCTATCCCCATCAACGCGTACACAGCGTGCCCATTGGTCGAAACGACCTTTCCAGAATTATTGACAGGGACGCGCACCCCCCCGGCATTGCGCCTTCCCCCAGTTCCAATGCACCTCCCCCACAACTCCTCCGCCTCCCCATCCCTTGCTAGGTCAAGTTTGTGCAACAGCTGCAAAGTACCAATCTGTGATTCTCTCACAGCCTCCGCTCCCTCTAGATCTAGATCTAGACACCTTCTACACGCCAGCATGGCTCGTAAGCGTAAGGGGCAGGCCCTTAACGACTGCCCCTCGGATCTAAACGACATTCCGTACATCCGCTGGATGAACCAGCAGATCGCCAACGGTCGCCATCCTAGGGGATTATCCGCGCCGCCCGTGCTTGACGGCCAGGGATCCGCTGCACAGTCGCCCACAGCGGCCCCGTCACGTGTGCGCCGTCAGCCTGCAAGGACGGCAGCAACGCACCGGCCAGTCGTGGAGCAATACGACGACGACCCTGACGCCGACGACCGCGAAGAAGGGGGTGACTCCGATGACGAGGTGGAGGAGCCCGAAGACCAGGGAATGTCGCCCAGCGACGAAGACGAAGACGACGACGACGATGAGGATGCCGAGGAGGACGTCCCGGAGGAAGCACAGCCTGTCGCTCAGCCGCCGAAACGGAGCGCCGCACGCAAATAAGGGTATGACAAGGGCAACGGCAAGGCTGCGCAACCTGCAGCGCGCCCGGAGCCGTGGAAGAAACGGGCGGCAGCACCTGTCGAGCGCGGCTTATGGTCTGACAAGGAGAGCACCATTTTCGCCGCGGTTTTGATATGCTCAAGTATGTCGCGGATTATCGTGAAAAGGTCTTGGAAATCGTTCTCCCGCATGTGCTGCAGGTCTTCAACCCACAATGCATGACGTCGCCGCCGTACTCTCGCTCTGTGTCGGCGGTTCTCCCCGTAATCGTCCCCGAGCGATGAGGACTGCTCGTTATCGTCCTCGAACACTCCCGACTCTATCAGGCCTACGAAGGACTTCGCGACGTTTTCGTAGAAAACGGTGTAGTAGTAGGTGACCCATGCGACGAGGAGGCGTAGGATGAAGGGTATGGTTTTTGGCTCTGCCATGTTGTGTGGGTTGTGAATGCGTAGTTATGTTGTATGTGCATACTTGGATTAAACATACTGACTGCGTAGGATAGTAGTGAACGTACTTGCCATTTTGGCAACTATTGGTAGCGCGGAGATGTACTGTACTGTCCGCGCCCTCCCCGTACAGAACCAGATCCCTTCCGCGGGTCTGGATCGCCGGTGTTTGAGCTGTTGGTGTTGGTACGTGCCAGATTGGACATTGACCAATCACAATGTGTCGTATATAATTGTCGCGTTGATGCCCAGCGTCGCAATACATCAGTCGATTGGGACATGCAGGATCGAGAAATTTGGGCGTGACTCGGCCAAAAAGGGATTGGGACACATCGATTGGGACACATTCCACAGCGGAATGTACCCTAAGTATATAGATCACAGTACAGGCAAAGTCAATAATGAGTAAGTGAGGCAAAGTAGGCACAAGGCCTAGAACAGTACAGAAACGCTGATGATCACAAGGCTGAAGTGCCTTGGTGAAGATATCAGCAGTGTTGGCCTGAGAGGCCACGTAAACAAGACGAAGCTGACGACGCTGCTGCAACTCTCGAGCGAGGAAGTAAGGCAGAGCGATGTGCTTCATTCTGTGCTCCAGTCTGTGCTACTGACACAAGGCAATCATGGCCTTGTTGTCGACGTACAGAACTGGAGGAGAACGAGGCGGCTCTCCCAAGTCGGTCAGCAAGTAGGTAAGCCAGCGTAACTCCTGTGCAGCCATGGCCCCAGCGTAGATCTCAGCCTCACAACTGGAGCTGAGAACAGAAGACGAGCGGGTGGACCACCACGGAACAGAACCGGAGCCAAGGCTGAAGGTGTAACCCTGTGACGACCGCTGCGTGGCCAAGTCGTCAACCCAAGAAGCGTCTGCGTGACCAGTGAGGACAACTCGACCCCGTCCTCCAAGCACGAGCCCCATGCCCGACGTACTGCACAAGTAGCGCATCACCCTCTTAGCGGCCTTCCAGTGCTCTGGTCGGTGTCTCCCGGGCGCAACGTAGCGTGCCTGGATGCTAAGAGGGTAAGCAAGGTCAGGTCGAGTGCAGGTCATCAGGTACATGAGACAGCCTACAAGCTCTGGATACGGGCCACTCGGCTCTACGGACTCATCTGAAGGCAGAGCTGAGAGCGAGTGACCGGTAGGCAGAGGAGTGGCCTGTGGCGAGGAGTACTGGAAGTCGAAGCGCTGAAGGACCTGCTGCACCATGTGTGACTGAGTCAAGGTAATGGTGCGCTGTGCTCCGTTCCTAGTGATCTGCAAGCCAAGATAGCTGCATAGCTCACCCAGGTCTGTGCACGTGTGTCTCCTCTACAGCCCCGACTTCACGTGGGCCAGTCCAGCAGTGTCAGCAGTGGCAAAGACTAAGTCGTCGACGTACACGAGGATCTAGAACGACGGCAGCGAAGTGTCGGTGCGTAGAAACAGCGACGGGCCAACTGTCGAAGGAGCAAACCCAAGAGCCGCAAGAGTCGTCCTCAGTGTGTCATGCCACTCGCAAGGCGCCTGGCGGAGACCGTAGACTGGCCGCCGGAGGCTCCACTGGGTACCAGGAGGAAACGACCCAGTGAAGCCAGGTGGGCGGCGCAGCCAGATCTCCTCGTGCAGGCTGCCCTGTAGGAAAGCAGTGCTGAAGTCAAGAGAGTGAAGCTCGTAGTCACGCTGAGCGGCGACGTGTAGTAGTACCGGAAGAGTGTTCATCTTCGGGGTAAGGGAGAAGGTCTGAAAGAAGTGAACTCCCTGTCGCTGACTGAAGCCTCGTGCAACGTAACGCGCCTTGAAGAAAGGCGGAGAACCCAGCGACCGCTTTACCCTGAAAATCCACATGCCACTGACGATGTTCGCCCCAGGTGGGGGAACCTCGTCGATGTAGTTGCCTGTGGACTTCCAGGATGCCATCTCTGTGTCCATGGCTGACTGCCACTGAGAGGAGTAGGGACCCTCTATCGCCTCTGCGTAAGAGCGCGGGGTCGGGATGTCTGGTGCATCCGGGTCTAGCTCAGGTGCAATCAGCATGGACACGAGATGAGGTACAGCAGCTGCAAAACACTCAAATTCCTCCTGCCTGTCCTCAAGGATGTCCGTGCGAAGAGCACACACACCCCCGACGGACGGAAGACAGACAGACTCAGACTCAGCAACAAGAGCACACGCAGCAGTAGACTAGCGGCGTAGTCTAGACGACAGGCGTCGGCAAAGTCAACCAGCTCAGCAACAAGAGCACACGCAGCAGTAGACTCAAAGGAAGGGTCAGTGACAACAGTGCCCAGGAGACGCGTAACAGTAGGACTAGAAGCACAAAGGGAGTCAGACTCAGGCGGTGGACACAATAAGGGAGGAGGAAGGTCAGTAGAAGGCGGGAGACCAAGAACCTGCTGAAGCAAGGGAACAAAGTACGGTCGCGGTCGCTCAGTGCCTCCAGAACCAGCACCGACAGCACCAGTACCTTTAGCAGCTCCAGCTCCAGCAGCACCTCTAGTTCCAGCTCCAGCAGTACCTCCAGCCCCAGCAGCTGCAGTACCTCCAGTACGATCCAGCTCCAGCAGCACCTCCAGCAGCTCCAGCTCCTGCAGCACCTCCAGCTCCAGCTCCAGCAGCACCTCCAGCTCTAGTACTGCCAGTACCTCCAGCAGCTCCAGCTCCAGCAGCACCTCCAGCCCCAGCAGCTCCAGTACCTCCAGTACGAGCACCTCTGGGACCAGGGGCTCCAGCACCTCCCGCAGCTCCAGCTCCAGCAACACCACTCTGGAGGCTGCAGCGCCGAGCAAACCACTCGCGCAACTGCAGTGGAGAGAGCGTCTCCCGATGGGACAAGACACTCGGAGGACCTCCAGAAGACAAAGTACCCCCAGGCGCAGCACGCTCAAGCTCAGCACCCCCAGGCTCAGTACCCCCAGGCTCAGCACCCCCAGGCTCAACACCCCCAGGCTCCGCACGCTCAGGCTCAGCACCCCCAGGCTCTGCACCCTCAGACTCAGCAACCCCAGGCTCAGCACGCTCAAGCGCAGCACTCCCAGGCCCCGCACCCGCAGGCGCAGCACCCCCAGACGCAGCACCTCTAGCAGCACCAGAGTCGACAGCTACCTCGACAGGCTTGACAGGGTCTACCTGGGACACACCTGAGGGAGCAGGACCCTGAGGGGGGAGGGGGTCTACCAGAGGAGGACCTGGTGCGAGGAAGAGCGGCGGGGGAGGGAGAGGGGCAGTGCGGTAGGGGAGAGACCGTAAAAGGGAACCGACTCGTCAAACGTGACGTCCTGAGAGGGCAGGACACGGCGCGAGGTGGGGTGGTAAAACTGCCAGCCAGGCGCGTCAGGGACAAAGCCAAGGAAGACACAGGGAACGGCGCGGGAGGAGAGCTTGTCCGCAGATGTATCGCGGCCAAAGGCTCGACATCCCCAGACCAGGAACACTGACGCATCGCCAACCTCCCCTGTCCAACGCAGTGTGGGCGAGGTCTCTGGCAAGGAGACACGGGCCCAGCGGTTGAGCTGATGCGCAGCGTACTGGACTTCAAACGGCCAGAGAAAATGGGGAGCCGCCGCATGGATCATGGAGGTACGAGCGACCTCCATGACTAAGCCAATGCGGCGCTCAGCAACCCCATTCTGCTGTGGAGAGGCCGGAAGCGTGAACGTCTGGTGAATGCCCTCCGCACGACAAAAGGTCCGCAAGAGGTCAGAGGAAAACTCACCACCTCTGTCAGAGTGCAGACGCAGGACAGGAAGGTCCGTCTCGAACCGCTCGTGGAGCTGGAGACGAACAGCGCGGATCCCAGGGATCAGAACATCAGGGACCTCCCCCTTGCGGCGCAAGGGGAAGACCATGGTGTAACACGTGTAGTCGTCGACAACCAGCAGAAAGTACCGCTCGTGGCCCTGTCCACGGACGCGGGCTGGGCCCCACACGTCCAGGTGGAGAGTCTGCAGGGGAGCCTCTGTCGAATGGAATGAGGAGGAGTGAGGAGCAGCGCGCTGCCGCCCCTTGACACAGGGAAGGCAGGGAGGGGCAGGCGAGGGTGGGAGGGGAGGCAGAGACCTGGGAAGACCAGAGACAAGGAGACGGGAGTGCATGCCACGGAGGCGTGCCGTAGAGGGGTGACCAAGGCGGTGGTGCCAAAGGAGCGTCTGGTGCGACAGGGCGCGACACGAGCAGGGGGCCGCAAGCTGACCTGACGCAGACGCAGCGACCTGAAGAGGCGCAGTAGTCAGTGTGTACAGACTCGACCCAGGCCGACGGGTGAATGTGGCCAGGTGGCGGCCGGTCCGGGAGCACGTACAGATCGCCACACGCTGTCGTCCAGGGTTGAAGGTGTCAACCCCCGCATCCTGGAGGTCAGCAGTGCTCACCAAGTTCGTAGAGAACGAGGGGAGGTGGAGACCTAACAGTGACCCAGACGGAACCGCCGGACAAGGCAGAATAGTGGAGGAACGTGCAAGGACTGAACCCCCAGAGGGGTCAGCCAAAGAGACAGCAACAGGTGCAGAGAGCGGTGTGACTGTGGTATTGACACGAAAGAAACATCAGGAAGCACCTGAGTCAAGTGTGAAGGT